GTTGCTATTTTAATTTCTTTTAGGGAATGTTTTGTTATTGTTTGTGTCAATCAACTTCAATATCGAAATAATTCAATTACACAGATACTAGTCGCATTTATTAAATGAATAAAACGATAATAGAATTCACTGGCTACGTCTACTTTACACACTTATAATAATGTTTTGAAGTTTTAATACAAATCCTGCTGATCCCTTAATCGTCCTAGCAGACAATGAGGATTTCATAAATCAATCAAAGTTTCAAACAAAGATCATAACTCCAACGCAACGACTCTTCTGGAAAACTTAAATTACTCTTTTTTCCGCAATGCGAGTGCGAATAATCTTCTTGACGGGCTGAGAAATTGATGGCGTCGAAAAAACGCCAAGTCAAAATCCGACAAACTTTTTACGTCAGCCGAGTTTCACTTAGAGAAGTTTCTACATCCATTTAGAAGTTACTCCTATACGACAAGCTGACAAATTTTAATGAACCCAAGAGGGCTGCTAATGTCTGCGAGTCGCGTAATGGGAAAACTTTGACGCGTTCCCCCACCGCCGCCGCGCAGCCGACGCTCCACATTTTTACTTCACATATTCTATTGTTTTCAAGACATATTTACCAAAGTCATGACAAAACAGCGATTGTAAGTTCGCCAACTCACATTACGAACACAGAATTGTTTGATTACTTTATCCGCTAATTTCGCCCGCCGAAATGTGTACGTATGGGAAATAAAATGTAACACTATACCCCTGGGCTCGCTGTAATAAAAAGCGCAATCATTTTGACGTGTGCCATTTGAACACTTTCAGTGAACTCCGCCTAGTATAAATTACATTATAAATTTTAACCTAAACGTTCAGTGACCAACGAAAAAATGTATTAGGGGTGACATGATTGTGATTTAAACGGCTAACCCCCGCTTAAGGGCGGTCTCGCGTCATCCATCATACGCTTTACATATGTTTGAATAAAGCTCGTGGGAAAAGGATTTCCTCTCAGAAGTCAATGCCACATTTGCTGCAATAGGGTGACCAAACGAGCCATTATACAAAATCATACCTTTTGCTTATATTAAGATTGCATTAGATACCAACTTGTAACTCGTAGGTAAGCGTAAGTAAGGTACATTTTAAATTGTAAGAAATAATATATCTTTTTTTAATATTGTTAGGCTAACTTTTTATCTGTCAGAAACGGCGGGTTGCACTGGAACGACTGCTGCTACTGCTGTAAAAAATATCGAATTCAAAGCGTACAAATAAATGAAGCTAACTAAATTAATTAATTGGTTTTAGTGATTTATTCCAATTAAAACTTAAACATTTTTGTAACATGCTACTAAACTAAACGTACATAAACACGTAATAACACAAATACTAAATGTCCATTTTAAAAGTAATACAAGATAAAAAATATACACGTATATTTATAGAATGCACATTATTCCGACTGTCAACCAAAGCCATGGTATCCCTACCCTACAAATAGCGGATTAGGGCAGTTTGGCAAACAAGGCGTCACCGGCGCGTGCGACGCTTATAACTAATGCTGTATTAATGTCTATTAGCTGGCCGCCATTGTTCTGCACCTAGCCTTAGCTATTTGTTTGGATTTGTGCTAGTAATCCGACAGTGAGGACTAAGCCGATAAATTTCACACGAGAGGCGTTAATAGAAGTCAAGTAGGTAGTACGTTTGTTGTGAATTCAACAGATTAGAGCTTTGTGTAGTCGTGTGGCTGCAAATGATTGGAGTACGTTGATTTCTTTGATACTCATTATTATAATTAATCAAAACTGAAAGCGTTGGTTAATTTTGGCTACGTTACAATGTGCAATCTCATACAACATATTGTATTAACTACTATAATTTTTTGACGGCACGTTGGGCGGAGTGGCTGTACTGGTGGTGGTGGTTGCCGCGCAACTTGTTGCGGGTTCGATTCCTGCACGGAACAACTCTTTGTGTGATCCACAGATTGTTGTTCAAGGCCTGAGTATCTTGTGTATGTGAACTTGTATGTTTGTAAACGGACCCACGACACAGGAAAAAATCCTAGTGCAATGTTTAAAAAACAATGTTTAATGAATGAAATGAAAATTGTTTAATTGGGTACACTGGGTAAGGGTACCTATTCTACTAACATAACCAATGTATAGCTCAAAAGACTAAACCTGAACCGAAATGTGATGTGACCATTACCAAAACATACCCAAACTAACTTAACAAAATCTCCAATATCGGATTTCCCCAAAACTTCCCTAGTTCCTACTTCCTAGTCAACTCCTTCATAGCCAATACAAACTCCAACTTTACAAGGCCAATGCCACAGATCGATTTCTTCCTTCATGAAATCGTGATAGTTACGATAAAACTGTTAAGCAAGAGGGGCGCAGCCTTATCGCAGGAGGCACGTGTCATCAGCCCAGCCAACCCTAGCATTGTGACGTCACAGGGCATTCAGGTCACCAGTATTGTGAACTTGTCGGGTGAATGAGACCACGGGTCTTCTTAAGGTGGTAAGCTATAGTGGTATGGAACTATGGTAAGTTTGTGTTGCTTGAATGTTCTACCAATGAAATTAAGGTTTTAATAATAAATGCTTTAGTTTATTTTTTGGCTATTGGTATTAATTTAAAAATTATTATCGATTTTTGACTTTAGTTTTGAAGTTTCCGTTGCCTCACAGCTTTTGAGTTGAGTTGAGAATTGAGATAGATTATTGGAATTGGCAGCTAGTCTTTATATCATATAAATCGTATTGGGGTACCATGTATCGTTGTATAGGCCGCAAACTGAATTATGGTTTTACAATAACACTTTATTTCATATCTCATTACATCAGTCCTCCCACAAAGCGTTCTCATTACCGGCGTTTCACTTTACACTTCCTGCTCATTCGTGTGCAATCTGTAGTGTGCAAATCCGTTAATCTTATTTGGTGGGTAGTCAGAACGCACGTGGCGCCACGTGGCGCGAAATCGAACTAATCTCTAGACCGTACGCGTCGGCGGGCAACGCGCGTGCGCCGTCCCGATAACGCCAAGAAACGCCATTCATTCCCGCTCTTTTGTAGTGAACAATCACTTATTTATTTATAATATTTGCGACTTGTCAACCTGCCACCCTCGTGAGTTAATGTGTACTTAACTCGGCTAAAGCTCCGCGTCGTCAGATAGGGTGTCTTGTAGGGGTGCTAAACTTGTCGTTTATGTATGAAGAGACTTATACCAAAGATTTGATATATTGTGATATATGGTAACGTCTGCTGGTTAACTAACGAGTCCTAAACAGTCTAGTCTCTACTTACCTCCTTGTGATTTATCATCGTAACAAAACACAAACAATAATAAGGGAAGTCACATACTAAGGACCATCAACAGCCTATATTAAGTGTCCACTACTGACCAAAGGCTACTTCTCACATGGAGAAGGTATAAGCAATAATCACCACACTTGTTCAATGCAGTTTGGCGATAGCAAACTTACTTATACGGCCTTCCTCACGATGTTTTCCTTCACCGATTTTCAGTGATGTATAAATAATCTAAGAAAGTAGGTACATATTACTCGAAAAAGTCACATTGGTACTTGCTGTCGGTAGGTTTCGTACCTTCACCCTTAGTTTTAGACCTCCGAGCCACCACGAAACTCGCAAGACTCTACGAGACCAACCACCAACAAATTAACCCTTATTATATGAACAAAGTTAGGGGATGATATTTCAACAGGTTAAATACCTTGACTTAGCACATTGCCACACAAGCATATGGGTACATAATTTTTACCGTATAATTATAGACTATGCCATCCAATGGGTTAACATAACATCACGCCTTTTATCCCCGAAAGGGTAGGCAGAGGTGCACATTATACCACTGTACAATGTGACACCCACTTTTCACTACTTATGTTATGAGTCCCATGTCATATGGGGTAAGCCTATTGCCATATACCGGGCACAATTCCAGACTCCGTGCTACTACTGAGAATTTTTAAAAAACCCAACAATAGGTACTTTGCCCGACCCGGGAATCGAACCCGAGACCCCTTGCCCGGCAGTCGCACTTGCGACCACTCGGCCAACGAGGCAGTCCAATGGATTAATTCTCAAAAGTCTCCATTAAGTCAGCTTATTGGAGACTTTTGTCAGCGTTAAGAATATGGATTGTGGATCTAATCCAAAACGCAGTTATTCTTGAAATGCACATAAATTGTTGGATTTTATCTCTGAAGTCCTAATCACCAATAGTTTGGACTTTGTTCTCGAAAATTTTCATTATCTTGTACCCATCAAGTAATGGGCGAGTAACATCCTCTTTTTTGGTAGGTAACCTAATCGATAAGTAATAAGTATTCCCAAGACGCCAACTTAATAGAAGATTATGACAAACGCAAACGCCCAAATAACAAAGAGGTATTTAAGTCATTAATTTAATTACCTAATTATGCATTATATTAATTTAATAATTAACAACAATATTTAGAAACAAACGCACAGGTACTTAAAATAATTTTACAAAAAACTGCATCTGCATTGGACAAATCTATAGTATCGAATGAGAACATTTGATAACATATAAAAACTCACAGATCACTTAATTTTAAAAAACAATTTAGCTAATGATAATAATCAATACAATAAAGATGTAAAGCCTTTTTTACAGAGTTTATGAAAAAAAATAAGTCGATATCACAATAATGATACCAGCATTTTTGTGCACTGCCGATATCGATTCGTGATTAGTGCACACACGCAATTGATCAATTAACGGCGATAGCGTGTATGTATCGATGATTTGACTAAGTTTTAGCGAAACTAATGAACGGAAATATGTTTTTATTTATACAGATAATTTTTTAAGAAAGATGTCTAGATCCAAACGCTAGTTTTAGCAAATAAACGTTTATAAATGATGCAACTGAATATTACTATAAAAATCGATACTTGACAATGTTGATGTCGAAATTTGGCTACATCACTATTTAAGCATTGTTTGACTGATCACACTCAAAATTTCAGAACGAGAAAGATGACGTCAGTGCAGTCCAGTCGAGTTAGCGAGTGAGCAGCGAGCCAGTTGATACGTGATCGTTAGCGCGTCAACACGTCTTCGGTGCAGCTGCTTATATTTTTCGAGAATTATTTCGGAAACTAAACTAATCCGTACAAGATGGGTGAAGAAGACGAATACGCTTGTGTTAACAGATCACAACTAAAAATCAAGAATACAACTGGAATCAAAAAGAAGAAGAATAAGAAGTCTAGTAAAGAGAAGCAGAGACTGATTGAAAACGACATCAAACAACAACAAACTACAAATACAGTTGTAAACTCTAAAACAAAGGCTGAGATGGCATTTCAGAAGATGCAGGAGAAAATGGTATGTATTCAGACTAATTATAATCATTATTATTTTATATTTACTCGCTATTTCGCATGTGGTATTCTTTTAGTACGACGCATTTTTGTGGTATGTGATTATTTTGTAGGTTCATGAAGACATGGTGTATTATTTTGAAGAGCATCTGTGTCACACGGACCGATACTCTATATTAGAATGAAGTTACTTGATGTAATATCCCTACAAGATTTCCACAACTAGTTAATTCTTTACCTAGGAACAATAGGTTTCTTACCCATATTATTCCTCTAGCAAAACATTTTGTACCTACTGTCTCAATTTCTTTTAATTTGTCATTGTTTTTCTAACGTTTACTAATCTACTCTTTAACCTTTACAGCAAAGGCAGAGGATTCAACAAAAAGCTGAGATGACTCACAAGCAGAGAGTGGAGCAATTCAACCAGCGTCTAGACAATCTCACTGAACACTTTGATATACCCAAAGTATCCTGGACTAAGTAATTAGTTTATAATTATTATTGTAAGTCTTGTAAAGCGCATAGGTTCAACTCTGTAATTTATACCATGCCGCTACTTAGTTATTTTACACTTAAGTAATATTATTACAAAGAGATTGTAATTTAAATCCAACTAAACCTTGTTTAGAATAGTTTTAGATGTAAGTTATTTGAATATACAATTTTAAAGTTTAATATGTAATTTTATTTTATTTTTTGCCCCCTACTTCATTGAGCCAAATGTAAGCATTATTGCATTGCATCACGCCATTTTAGTCCCCAAAGGTGTAGCACAAAGTGCGCATAATTTCACCAAGCTTCTGCCAGTTCAAACTTTGAGGAAGATTTTCACGAGTCCGGTAAGAAATAAATTATCATACATATAAACAGAAATACATCTTTATCGTTTTGATAATTATGAACATAATTTATTTCTTATCAGATGCCGTCATTCGTAAAAATCGTTCTCCAAGTATGAACTGACCTCTGGGGACTAAAATGGCGACGTGTTGACGCGCTAACGGTCACGTATCACAATTTCGTTCTGAAATTTTCAGTGTGACCAGTTAAACAATGCTTAAACTGTCAAACACCAAGTGGTCACCGGTGACCGCAACCTATTGTTCTTTAATTGTGTCTATAAATACGGTACTCGACGAGTTAAATAGTGATGTGACCAAATATCTCTTTTAATGATCTTGCATCATCTGCCAGTGATGATAGCTTTAGTACGTGTAGTGATACCCTCGGAGAGTTTTTACATCGTAGTTTCGATAACTCTGTGGCAAAAATGCTGAATGTGTGTCATATAAATGCGCAAAGTATTGCCAGTCATTATCACGAATTATATGACGCTTTTCATAATACTAATGTCCACGCGGTTCTGATATCAGAGTCTTGGCTCAAACCTTCTCTTCTTTCCACTACTTATCCCCTCTCCGGTTATGTACTTATACGTAACGATCGTGTTTTCAGGAGGGGAGGTGGAGTGGCCATATATCTTCGCAGCGACTTACCTTTTAAAATTCTAACCATGTCCACTCAAAACCATGCTGCTGAATATATCTTTCTCGAAGTGTGTGTTCGCACGACCAAAACCATCCTTGGCGTGGTCTATTGTCCCCCTACCGTCGATTACTTCACTAAATTGGAAACAGTTTTAGAATCTTTGGGGTCAGAATATTCACATCACATCATAATGGGTGACTTCAACACCAACCTCCTTTCTCCCACCTCTCCCCGAACCCGCAAACTCCTGCATGTGATTGAGTCAGCTTGTCTCCATTTATTGCCTCTTAAGGCTACTCACCATAACACTGTAGGCGATGATACCTGGCTCGATCTAATCCTTACCTCTAATCCTTCCCTTGTTTCCTCTCACGGTCAACAGGTTGCGCCTGGGTTCTCTCACCATGACCTGATCTTCCTTTCCTATACCCTTAAACCTCCCAAACCCAAACCTAAGGTCTTGTACAGGCGAGCTTTTGGTCGTATGGATTGTGAAGGGCTCAAAAGGGATGCCTCTGCCATCAACTGGGTGCCTCTGACAGAAGCAAATACCATAGACGATAAGGTGGCTTATTTTAACTCAGTTGTGGTTCAGCTTTATGATCGTCATGCTCCTGTCAGAAAAATTATCCAAAAGCGACCACCAGCTCCATGGATGACACGCGGAATCCGTATGGCAATGCGACGCAGAGATCGAATGTTTCGGAATTACAAGCGAGATCGTACTGACGAACACTGGGCGGCTTATAAGGTAGCGCGAAATAGGTGCAATCAGATGATACGCAACGCTAAAAGCCGCCACATTCTTGAAAACATTACTTCTGAGTCTTCTGCCAACATCTGGAAATTCCTTGGAACTCTAGGTATTGGCAGATCGCGCAATTCTGACTTCTCAGTTTCAGTTGGATTAGATGATCTGAATCGTCACTTTTCCTCGACTCACACATTAGATCATAACTGAACAACAGACACTGGCCTTCATTTCTGGTATGACGGGCTCTAATACTAGCAATTCTTTTCAATTTGTTCCAGTTGCACCTGAGGAGATCGGTAAGGTAATACTATCCATTAAATCGAAGGCGGTGGGATGTGATAATATATCTCGTTTCATGATCACCACAATATTGGATCACATCCTACCGGCGATTTCCCATATAATAAATTTCTCTTTGTTTTCCTGTACTTTCCCATCCTTGTGGCGGAGAGCATATATTCGGCCGCTTCCTAAAGTCACCAACCCCACTGTCCCTTCTCATTTTCGTCCCATTTCTATCCTTCCTTTCCTATCCAAGGTGCTCGAGGCCTGCGTCCATCGACAGTTTTCCGGTTTTATATATCGGAACTCACTTATTTCACCACTGCAATCTGGATTCAGGCCTGGTCATAGCACTGTCACTGCACTCCTTAAAGTGACTGGCGATGTTAGGGCAGCAATGGAGGACGCCAGGGTGACTGTTCTGGTGCTGGTAGATTTCTCTAACGCCTTTAACATGGTCAGTCACAATATCCTCTTAGCTGTCCTGGCCTATCTGTCGGTCTCTGATGGAGCACTGGAATGGTTCTCTTCATACCTTCGTGGGCGTCAGCAGATGGTGCAGGTTGATGATACGTCATCGGGCTGGGCCACACTGCACAATGGCGTTCCACAGGGCGGCATACTTTCTCCTCTTCTGTTTTCTATTTTTATCAATCTTATAACTTCTGATCTTCAGTGTGCGTATCATCTATATGCTGACGACTTACAGGTGTACTGTCACGGAGTAGTGGCTGAACTGGACCAGTGCATCGCCAAAATCAACCGTGATTTGGCTGCTATTGAGAGTTGGTCCGAGAGGTTTGGAATCGCTGTCAATCCTGACAAATGTCAAGCGATTATTATTGGTAGTAGTAAAAGTATGGCCAAAATCAACTTCACTATACTACCGCCCGTACTGTACAACGGGACGCCTGTCCAATATAGTGAGAGCGTCAAGGACCTGGGTATACATATTGACAGTACCCTCAGTTGGCGAAGTCAAGTTGCCAGTGTAAGTCAAAAAGTTACCGGATCGCTGCGGTCTCTGTACCGTCTCAGAAATGTATTGCCTCCCAGCACTAAGGCGATGCTTGTGCAGACCTTAATTTTCCCCATCATCGATTATGGTGATGTGTGTTACTATGACCTGAATGCAGATCTTCTCAACAAACTTGACCGTCTTCTAAATAACTGCATTCGATTCGTTTCTAACCTGCGTAAATACGACCATGTGTCTGCACAGCGATCATTGTTGAAATGGTTGCCTATTCGTCAGCGCAGAGAGCTAAGGGCACTCACAACTTTATTTTCTCTGCTTGACTCTCCCAATTCTCCTAACTATTTAACTTCACATTTCCAGTATGTATGTGACAACCATACTAAAAATCTACGCTCCTCGCATAATCGGCTATTGCACTGTCCTGTCCATCGCAGTAACTTTACTCATTCTTCTTTCTTCATTCAAGTCATTTCTCTCTGGAACACGCTTCCAACGAATGTCAGAACCGCAACCAGTCGTCTGAGTTTCAAGCGGAGGGCGCGTGAGTACATTAGCGGAAAGCTGGCAGTTTCATAACATCTTTCATAATTTTTCATCTTGTTGTAACATAGGACAAATTCATATACGAGTCACAAATATATTTATATGTATAATGATATTTATATTATATATAATTATATATATCTATACGATTATATTTACGTATTTTATGTATGCTTTTGATACCCTTTTTTTTTAATTTGGATAATTACCACTATTTCTCATAACAGTTTTGCAGCTTACCACCTACCACATACATTTCTGCACTACCCAAAGGATGACTGGCAGAGAATGCTGTTAGCATTAAGTCTTCCTTATGCAATTGTATAGAACATTAAAAAAAAAAAAAAAAAAAAAAATATCGTCGGAACGTAAATGTTTTTTATTAATACACATATTTTTTTTATAAATATGTCTAGATCCAAACGGTCCGTTTAGCAAATAAACGTTTATAAATGATGCAACTGATTATTACTTTAAAAACCGATACTTGACAATTTTGGCTACATCACTTTTTAACCATTGTTTGACTGGTCACACTCGAAATTTCAGAACGAGAAAGATGACGTCAGTGCAGTCCAGTCGAGTTAGCGAGTGAGCAGCGAGCCAGTTGATACGTGATCGTTAGCGCGTCAACACGTCTTCGTTGCAGCTGCTTATATTTTTTGAGAATAATTTCGGAAACTAAACAAATCCGTACAAGATGGGTGAAGAAGACGAATACGCTTGTGTTAACAGATCACAACTAAAAATCAAGAATACAACTGGAATCAAAAAGAAGAAGAATAAGAAGTCTAGTAAAGAAGCAGAGACTGATTGAAAACGACATCAAACAACAACAAACTACAAATACAGTTGTAAACTCTAAAACAAAGGCTGAGATGGCATTTCAGAAGATGCAGGAGAAAATGGTATGTATTCAGACTAATTACAATCATTATTATTTTATACTTACTCGCTATTTCGCATGTGGTATTCTTTTAGTACGACACATGTGATTATTTTGTAGGTTCATGAAGACATGGTGTATTATTTTGAAGAGCATTTGTGCCACACGGACCGATACTCTATGTTAGAATGAATTTACTTGATGTAATATCCCTACAGGATTTCCACAACTAGTTAATTCTTTACCTAGGAACAATAGGTTTCTTACCCATATTATTCCTCTAGCAAAACATTTTGTACTACTGTCAATTTTTTTATTTGTCATTTCAAACATTTATAACTCTACTTTAAACCTTTACAGCAAAGGAGAGGGATTCACAAAAAGCTGAGATGACTCACAAGCAGAGAGTGGAGCAATTCAACCAGCGTCTAGACAATCTTACTGAACACTTTGATATACCCAAAGTATCCTGGACTAAGTAATTAGTTTATAATTATTATTGTAAGTCTTGTAAAGTACATAGGTGCAACTCTGTAATTTATACCATGCCGCTACTTAGTAATTTTACACTTGATATTATTACAAAGAGATTGTAATTTAAATCCAACTAAACCTTGTTTAGAAT